AAAAAGAGGCTTATAAAAGATGGAATCAAGGACAGCAGGTCTCGGAAGAGTACAGGGATGTTGTCCAGGAAGCTAGGGACCACGTTAGGAAAGCTAAGGCCCAGTTAGAATTAAACTTGGTTAGGGATGTGAAAGATAACAGGAAGGGCTTCTATAGGTATGTAGCAAAAAAAAGACAGACTAGGGTTTCTGTGGGCTCTCTCTGGAAGGAAATGGGAGAACTGGCTACCCTGAATTTGAAGAAGGCTGAGGTTCTTAATGACTTCTTTGCCTTGGTCTTCACTGGCAAATGCTCTAACCACACCACCCAAGTCGTAGAAGGCCGATGCAGGGACTGTGAGAATGAAGACCTTGGGCCCACTGTAGGAGAGGATATGGTTCAAGATTATCTTAAGCACCTGAACGTGCACAAGTCCATGGGAGCTGATGAAATCCATCCTGAAGGAGCTGGCAAATGAAGTTGCTAAGCCAGCGTCCATTTTTTTTGAAAAATCATGGCAGTCAGGTGAAGTTCCCAACAACTGGAAAAAGGGTAATATAACCCTCTATTTTTAAGGAGGGGAAAATGGATCACCTAGGGAACTACAGACCGGTCAGTCGCACCTATGTGCTTGACAAAATCTTGGACAGATTCTCCTGGAAGGCATGCTAAGGCACATGAAAAACAACTGACGAAGGAGAGGGTGAATCGAGTCAAATTGCTGCCACAGAAAATATATGGACTTAGTCAGAGATCAATATGATCAGACAAAAGCCATTTATTACAAAGCCTTAACTCCTTATATACTATTTCTTATCTGCAGTTACAGTGATTTGGCATATTATGATTGGATACATGTCTTGAAGACCCTTAGTGACTAACTTATAATTGGTTAAGCACAGGTGTGAGAACTTGACCTCAAAAGCTTGCCAACAGTCCACAGTTCTCATTAGCTCAGTGAATTCCAGCTTCTTCTTATCTTGCTTGCTTAAGCTTCTTCAGGCCTCTCATGGCCTTGCTGTATCTTTCAGGATTATTCAGAGTTTATGTACCAATTATGCATTCTCCTGTGAGAACACTGTCTCCACAAATTGCTGAGGTGAAAGCCATCCAGCTGGGCTTGGACATTGCTGAACGAGAAAAGTGGCCAGTGCTTTATCCCTATACTGAATCATGGATGGTGGCAACTGCCCTGTGGGGGTGTTTGCAGCAATGGAAGCAGAGCAACTGGCAACACCGAGGTAAACCCATCTGGGCTGCTGCACTGTGGCAAGATATCGCTGCCTGGGTGCAGAACCTGGTGGTGAAGGTATGCCACATAGATGCTCATGTAGAATCATAGAATGGTTAGGGTTGGAAAGGACCTTAAGATCATGAAGTTCCTGAGGTCTTTGCATAACTGCAAAGTTATACCAGGTTATGGAGCTAGCGGTGAATCCTAAGTATGCTTTTTTAGAAGGTCAAGCAAAATAAGCAGAGTGCATGTAACACTGTAAATAAAGTAAGAAAAACATATATGATCACTGTCCCTGGCACTGAGGCCTTTCCAGTGAGCAAAGTGTAGTAGGTTTAACCCCCAAATTTACCCCTCTGTGTTAATGGAATTTGCTGTTGCAAAGCACCCTCACCAGCTCAGAAAGAGCAGAGGCACCTTGTTGGGGTTCACGTTTATTCCATTTTCATAGAAGCATAGAAGAGTTAGGGTTGGAAAGGACCTTAAGATCATCTAGTTCCAACCCCCTCTGCCATGGACAGGGACACTTCACACTAAACCATCTCACCCAAGGCTTCGTCCAACCTGGCCTTAAACACTGCTAGGGATGGAGCAGTCACAACCTCCCTGAGCAACCCATTCCAGTGCCTCACCACCCTAACAGGAAAGAATTTCTTCCTTATATCCAATCTAAACTTCCCCTGTTTCAGTTTTAACCCGTTACCCCTTGTCCTGTCGCTACAGTCCCTAATGAAGAGTCCCTCCCTAGCATCCCTATAGGCCCCCTTCAGATACTGGAAGGCTGCTATGAGGTCTCCACACAGCCTTCTCTTCTCCAGGCTGAACAGCCCCAACTTTCTCTGCCTGTCCTCAGACAGGAGGTGCTTCAGCCCTCGATTGTCCTTGTGGCCCTCCTCTAGACTTGTTCCAACAGTTGCATGTTCTTTTTATGTTGAGGACACTAGAACCACACACCGTACTCCAAGTGAGGTCTCACAAGAGCAGAGTAGAGGGGCAGGATCACCTCCTTCGACCTGCTTTGATGACTTTAAGCATCAAATCGATGCAATTTACAGAGGGAACTACTTTCTGTCCTTGGTTTCTGATACCATCCTCTCCAGAGGCGTGTGGAAGAGTGATGTGCCTTTCCCACCGGACATTGCTGCAGAGGTGATGCTGTCAGAGCTGCTCTTATAGCTTCATTACACCATGATCGGGAAAGGAGATGCAACTTGCTCTATCTCATGTTACTGGCCCCTGAAGAGCTGGTAGGAGGAACCCTTGATCCTGTTACTGTGATGAAACAATGTGACTTAAGGCGCCCAGGTAACAAATGCAGGGGATAGAAAAATGCCAGCTTGAGTTGTGTTTCTGGCTTGCCTTGCCTCATTTTATATCTCTGTGGGCTTCAAGTCAGGGCACGTCTCCTCGCTCAGCTGGCTTTGCTGGTTTGTGTATTGGGTGATCAGGAAATGATGATTCCTCCTGTCGTTCCCAAGTGAATATGCTGCCTGAGGGGAGACTCCTGAAGACAGCTCATCAGATCCCAGTGCCCCCAATTTTTGGCTTAACTGCCATCCCTGAAAAGGACAAGGCCATCAGTCCCTGGGCTTCTTCCCTATCTCTAGCACTCTACTAGTGCTGACCTGTAGTATTTTTATTACCCAAAGTTTTGTCTTGCCCTCCCGTTGACCTCACAAGTGCAGCTGTTAGCAGCCACCTAGGCTTGTTGAAAGCAGAGAGTATTTTCTAACACCCTATTGCTCTGCTCAGAGCTTTTACTGGTCCTCTTTGAGCACTGTGTGTGCCAGCATCACTGGGGTGGAGAGACTGTCAGGAAATATGAGTGTTAAAGCTGTTTCTGTTTTGGTCTTGGCAAAAGCCAGGCTCTTTCCAGTATACTGTCCGTGAGAAAGAGATTCCAGGTTTGAGGGTGTTACTGACTGTGTGTGTGTACATACTGTGGTTCCTTCATCCTCCCTGCACTTGCTTAAACTTCTTGCCTTGGGGGAGCTGGTACCTCATTCCTGCTCCCCATCTCCTGCAGACACTCCATCCCATGCATTCAGAGAGAGTTTCTGATGTTGCTTCACACTGAAGTTGTCTCCAGGACAGATAATCCTGTTACACTTACTTCCTGTCCCCCAGGGTTATTTGAGATCCACAGAAAAACAGAACAGCTGAGGTTGGGAGAGACCACCAGGGGTCATTTACTCCAACCTCCCTCCTCAAGAAGGGTCACCTACACATCATTGCTCAGGACTGTGTCCAGATGGCTCTTGAAATATCTCCAGGGAAGGAGACTCCAAAACATCTCTGGGCAACCTATTCCAATGCTCAATCACTCTTCCTCATAGAATCATCATAGAATCACAGAATGGTTTGTGTTGGAAGGGACCCTAAAGATCATCTGCTTCCAACCCCCTCCACTAGACCAGGTTGCTCAAAGCCCCGTCCAAACTGGACTTAAACATTTATAGGGATGGGGCATCCACAACTCTGGGCAACCTGTGCCAGTGCCTCACCACCCTCACAGGGAAGAATTTTTCCCTAATATCTAATCTAAATCTCCCCTCTCAGTTTAAAGCCATTTCCACTTGTCCTATCACTACATGCCCTTGTAAGAGGTCCCTCTCCAGATTTCTTGTAGGCTCCCTTTAAGTATTGGAAGACTCTTATAAGGATACCCCTGAGCCTTTTCTTCTCCAAGCTGAACAACTCCAACTCTCTCAGCCTGTCTCCATAGGAGAGGTACTCCAGACCTTGGAGCATCATCATGGCCCTCCTCTGGACTCACTCTAACAGGTCCACATCCTTGTTGTGTTGGGGGTACCAGAGGTGAATGCAATACTTCAGGTGGGGTCTCATAAGAGTGGAATAGAGGGGGAGAATCCTCTCCCTTGACCTGCTGGTCACATTGCTGGGGATGCAGCCTAGGACATGGTTGGCTTTCTGGGCTGTGAGTGTACACTGCTAGCTCATGTTGAGCTTTTCATCAACCATTACCCCCAAGTCCTTCTCCTCAGGGCTGCCTGTATTTGTGCTTGGGTCCCTCTGGATCCCATCCCTTCCCTCTAGCATGTCGACTGCACCACATAGTTTGGTGTCATTGACAAACTTGCTGAGGGTGCACTCAATCCCACTGTCCATGTTCATAGAATCATAGAATCATAGAATCGTTAGGGTTGGAAAGGACCTTAAGATCATCTAGTTCCAACCCCCCTGCCATGGGCAGGGACACCTTACACTAAATCATATCGCCCAAGGCCTTGTCCAACCTGTCCTTGAACACTGCCAGGGAAGCCGCATTCACAACCTCCCTGAGCAACTTATTCCAGTGCCTCACCACCCTAACAGGAAAGAATTTCCTTCTCATATCCAACCTAAACTTCCCCTGTTTAAGTTTTAACCCATTACCCCTTGTCCTATCACTACAGTCTCTAATGAAGAGTCCCTCTCCAGCATCCCTATAGGCCCCCTTCAGATACTGGAAGGCTGCTATGAGGTCTCCACACAGCCTTCTCTTCTCCAGGCTGAACAGCTCCAACTTTCTCAGCCTGTCTTCATACAGGAGGTGCTCCAGTCCCCTGATCATCCTCATGGCCCTTCTCTGGACTTGTTCCAACAGTTCCATGTCCTTTTTATGTTGAGGACACCAGAACTGCACACAATACTCCAGGTGAGGTCTCACAAGAGCAGAGTAGAGGGGCAGGATCACCTCCTTCAACCTGCTGGTCACCCTCCTTTTGATGCAGCCCTTTTGATGATAGGTTATCATATTGTCATGGTTTAAACCCAGCCGGTAACTCAGTACCATGCAGCTGTTCACTCACCCCCCTTTCCCCTTCCCAGTTTGGATGGGGAGGAGAAATGAAAGAATATAAAACCCATGGGTTGAGATATAAACAGTTTAATAACTAAAATAAAGTAAAATATAGTGATAATAGAAAGAATACCAACAATAACAGTATTGATAATAATAATAGGGAACAACAAAAAAGGGAGAAATGAAAATTCAAAAAACACAAGTGATGCACAATACAATTGTTCAGCACCCACCGACCGATACCCAGCCTGACCCAAGAAGCCATCTGCCCTTCTGGGTAACTCCCCCCAGTTTATATACTGGGCATGACATGCTGTGGTATAGAATATCCCTTTGGCTAGTTTGGGTCAGATGTACCTGTCTCTGCTTCCTCCCTGCTTCTTGTGCCCCTCCTCACTGGCAGAGCATGAGAGACTGAAAAGTCCTTGATCAGGGTAATCACTACTTAGCAATGACTAAAACATGGGTGTGTTATCAGCATCATTCTCAGACTAAAGCCAAGACACAGCACTGCACCAGCTACTAGGAAGGAGAAGAAGTAACTGTTACAGCTGAGACCAGGACACCCATCATACATGGGCTCCTATCCCTACTGGAGGCAGTATTAATACAGTGCAAACACTGAATACCTGCAAAAGGCTTAGGTTTTGGTCCTGAATCCTATTTGTGATTCTGCGGTAAGAAGTTATTCTCCTAAATGAAAAGCTAATTTAAATCCTGTCTTGCACTGAATACACAGCAGTTTGATGTACTCTCCAAGTTTTAAGGCACGTTTCAGCAGTGAGTAGAACAAGTTCTGAAATTTTAAGCAAACAATGTGCTATTTAAAAATACAGCTGCAAAATGTTTCTTTTTTTTTTTTTTAATAAAGAAAGCAAGCTCCCAAGAATCAGTTTGCAATAAAAGAGAAAGAAACATGGGGAATATCACAGGTTGCCAGGAAGAGAAGCATGGAGGCAGCGATATTTTCTGCTGTGGGGTGTGTTAGTCTGTTGACATGCCATCCAGGGAAATGGTAATAACTCAGGCATGATGTCAAGCTAGGCTGGACTAACATTAAATGGTGGTGCTGCTTTGCTGGAGACACTTTTCTATCCCCACTGGGCCCCTCAGTGACAGTCCCAGTAGGAAGAGAAAAAGTAAAAGGATAAATTCCCTTGCCTGGCACAAAGCACAGTCTTACATAGTCCATGCAGCAACCAGGTGTGGGGAGTGAAGATAGAGGCAAGGTCTCTGCCCTTTTTCTGCCCCAGCTAGTTCTCATCCAGAAGCTCCATGACCATCTTAGTGTGGTGTTGTCAACTAGCTGCTGAGAGTCAGGGTATGTTAGCTTTAGCCCCAGGTGACCTTGGAGGCAATGGGACACAGCTCAATCTGGCCTTTGCAGTATCCCTGTTTGGGAGATTGAGAACTCATGTCCTTTGCTATTAATTCTGCTATGCCTTTTACTGCTATCAAATCTGGGTTTCTGCAGCTGTATGGTGGCCAGCCAGGCTGTTGCCCTAATTTTGCTTTTCGCCTTTGTATCCCATACATAGAGAAGCAGAGGGAGCTGGCTCAGAAAGGGTCCCTGAAGAATGGCAACATGGGAAGCCCAGTTAATCAGCAGCCCAAGAAGAACAACATGATGGCACGAACAAGGTAAAGGACTGGAAAAACACTAAATTATGCTCTAAGCTTCAATCCCTAATGACCTTAGGATGGACAAGGATGATGTTCATGGCTATTTGCCTACTGCCAAACATGCTGCAAGAGCAGTGATGGTTCTTCCTGGAGCTGGCCGTCCTGGCCGTTCTATGCTGTGGTGCATCCCATCCTCTGGGGAGATGCAGGAACAGCTGGGCTCAGGACTGGTGACAGTGCAGCATGAAGGAGGCAGAGGTAGCCCAGCTTGGTTAAAATTAGAGGTTTGATATGACTGTCTTGCATGTTCTGGATAGTCTCACGTAACACATAATCCTGCCAGCAGGAGAATGTACAATGCTGCTTCATGTAACACAAAGTGGTTTAGAGCTTAGTTCTGACTTGACTACTTTTATCTCAGTAGTTCCTCTGTTCCTTTTTGATCACAGAATCATAGAATCAACTAAGTTGGAAAAGACCTTTAAGATCAAGTCCAATCTTTACCCCAGGACTGCTAAGTCCACCACTAAACCATGTCACTAAGGGCCTCACCTACATGGTTTTTGAACACTTCCAGGGACAGTGTTCCAATACTCCCCTGGGAAACCTGTTCCAAAACCTGATCACCCTTTTGGTGAAGAAATGTTTCTTAATATCCAGTGTAAACCTCCCCTGGCTCAAGGTCATCTTCTCTTATCCTATCATTTGTTACTTGGGAGAAGAGACCGACCTCCACCTCACTACAACCTCCATTCAGGTAATTGTAGAGAGTGATAAGGTACCCCTGAGCCTTCTCCAGACTAAACAACCCCAGTTCCCTCAGCTGTTCCTCATAAGACTTGTGCCAAGGCCCTTCACCAGCTTCGTTGCCCTTTTCTGGATCCACACCAGCAACTCAGTATCTCTGTGTAGTGAAGGGCCCAGAACTGAACACAGGATTTGAGGTGCAGCCTCATCAGTGTACAGGGGGACAATCACTTCCCTGGCTCTGCTGGCCACACTAATGCTGATACAGGCCAGAATGCCGTTGGCCTTCTTGGCTGCTGGGGTACAAGCTGGCTCAGGTTCACCAGCTGTCACTCAGCAACCCCAGGTCCTTTTCAGCTGTGCAGCTTTCCAACCACTCTTCCACAAGCCTATAGCATTGCATGGGGTTGTTGTGGCCCAAGTGCAGGACCCATCACTTAGCCTTGTTGAACCTCATAACACTGGTCACAGCCCATCGATCGAGCCTGTCCAGATCCCTCTGCAGAGCCTTCCTATCCTCCATCAGTTCAAGACAGATGGATTGTCCAAATAGACAACATCAACAGACTTTCTCTCATCAACCAGGCAGGTCACCTTGTCATAGAAGGACATCAGGTTCGTCAAGCAGGACCTGCTCTTCATGAACCCATGCTGACTGGGACTGATCACTCAGTTTTCCTGCACATGGTATGTGATAGCACTCAGGATGATCTGCTCCATGACCTTCCCTGGCACTGAGGTCAGGCTGACAAGCCTGTAGTTTCTGGGGTCATGTTGAGGCGTCATGTTGGCCAACCTCCAGTCCTTTGGGACCTGCCCACTAGACCAGGACTGCTGATAAATGATGGATAGTGGCTTGGCAAGCTCCTCTGCCAGCTCCTTCAGCACTCTTGCGTGGAACCCATCTGGTCCCATAGACTTGTATATGTCTAAGAGGAGCAGGAGGTCACTAACCATTTCTTCTCTGCCATCCAACTCAGGGGACTGACTGGGGACCCTGAGAATAGCTGGTGTGACTATTAAAGACTGAGGCAAAGGTGGCATTAAGTACCTCAACCTGTTCCTCATCCTCTGTCACTAGGCTTCCCCCAGGATCCAATAAAGGATGGAGGTTCTCCTTGCCTCTCCTTTTATTGATGATATATTTGTAAAAATATTTTTTATTATCTTTTATATCAGCAGCCAGATTAAGTTCCAGCTGTGCCTTTGCCTTTCAAATTTTCTCACTGCATAACCTAACAACATCCTTGTACTCCTCATGGGGTGACAGTCCCTTCTTCCACAGGTGACAGATTCTCTTTTTTTTCCTGAGTTCCAGCAATATTTCCCTGTTCAGCCAGTCTGGTCTCTTCCCCACCAGTTTGATTTTTGGTACATGGGGTCTGCCTGCTCCTGCACCTTGAAGATTTCATTCTTGAAGAGTGTCCAGCCTTCCTGGACGCCGTTGTCCTTCAATAATCTATCCCAAGGGATTCTCCCAACCAGCATCCTAAACAGGCCAAAGTCAGCCCTCTAGAAGTCTAAGGTGGAGGTTTTGCTGACCTTCTTCCTGACTTCTCTAAGGATTGAAAATTCTATCATTTCATGATCGCTTTGCCCAAGGCAGCCTCCAACCATCACATCACCCACCAGTGCTTCTCTGTTTGTGAACACAAATCTCCCCTAGTTGGCTCACTCACCAGCTGGGTCAGGAAGTTATCTTCCACACCTGCTAAGCATCTCTCTGTTGTATTGTACTTCCAGCATCCATCTGGTAGGTTGAAATCCCCCACAAGAACAAGGGCAAGCGATCATGAAACTTCTCCCAGTTGTCTGAAGAACACTTCATCTGTAGCTTCATCCTGGCTGGGTGGTCTATAACAGACTCCTACCAGGATATCTGATTGGCTGTGATTCGAAGAAAACTCCAGGAACAAACTTGCCAACAAAGTTTTCAAGCTAACAAGCAGGTATTCTTTATTGCGGCGCTGGGAGACACAGGGGATAACTCCTCCTAATGTGAGTCTCCCAATTGCCACACAAGCTGTCCTTTTGTAGCCACTGGGCATACATACATATTCATGAGGCTACGTATGGATTACATCATTCTCCAGAAAGTTCCCCACATGCGTACAGAATTGTGGTGGTGGTCTCTGAGGGTCGTTTATTTCTTCCAACAGTCTTCATCACTTCTGGCAGCCTTTGAAGCACACCCAGTAGATGCTCATACCAGTTTAATTGGTTCGTTAGCACCAGACACATAATAATCCTCCTATCCTCCTACTTATCAGTTAGTTTAACTGTAGCCCATCCTGGACACCTGCAGTTCCCAGATACTCCTTATCCCTGTGTCCTGTTCTTCTAGACTGTTTTTCTTAAAACTCTGTGTCGTGGTTTAAACCCAGTCAGGTAACTTGTTCACTCACTCCCAGTGAGTGGTGCCGAGCTGACAACAATCGAGGTCCGTGTCCCCCCCCCCCCACCGGGGTTCTCCCCCACTCCCGGAGGAACGGGGAGGAGGATCGAAAGAGTGCAACTCCCACAGGTTGAGACAAGAACAGTCCAGCAACCAATGTACACAAATCACCACCGCAACTATCAACTACAACAATGATAAGGGAAAATAACAAGGGAAGAGAATACGATACCACCGGCCAAGAATACGAGTTCCACCCGGAAGCCCCGTGTCCTTCCGGGTAACTCCCAGTCACCCCCCACCCCGGCCATGACGTGCTGTGGTATGGAATACCTCCCTGGCTAGCCCGAGTCAGGCGCCCCATCTCTGCTTCCTCCCGGCTTCCCCTCCTCCCTGGCAGAGCATGAGCCTCACAAAGTCCTTGGTCAGGGTAAACATCACTTAGCAACAACTGAAAACATTGACTTCACCAACACTGTTCTCAGTTGGAAGTCAAAACACAGCACTGCACCAGCTAGCACAAAGGAAAAAAAAAACAAACATGACTGCTACTGCTGAACCCAGGACATTATCCACCCCTTATTCCATACCATTCACGTCGTGCTCAGATCCCACATTTTCAGTACACCATCGCTCTCCCACATATATACATCCATATACATACAGACCAAGAGGAAAAGATCATTTTCTTAGTGCATGGACCAATCCCTAAAATGCTGCCGAGTCCATTCGGTCCATGATGTTCAAAGTTCATTCTCTGTTGGGATGATGGCTGGGGGGAAGTCAGGGCCAGTCGCTGGTGACCTGGAGACATCTAGTTAATGGGCTATAAAAGCATTATACAGCAGGCAACGGCATACAATTGAGTTCACTGGCTGTTTTCCCCTAAAATCAAATCCCCTTGAGGTATACATCGGACTTCCCCATCTTCCTGCATTACCCACCAAGTATATCCAGGTCCCTGAGCAAAAGCAATCCCACGAGTGGGTTTGCCTTTACCTGAAGCAGGAATTACCCAGACTGTCTTCCCCAGCAAATTCTTCATATGCACCACGGGAACTTTGTCCCCCTCTACAATATGTAAAAGTTCTGACTGGGCTGGGCCAGCCCTGTTGGCAGATCCTCTGGTGTTGACCAACCAGGTGGCCTTTGGTAAGTGTGTATCCCAATGCTTGAAAGTTCCCCCACCCATTGCTCTCAGTGTAGTTTTTAACAGCCCATTGTACCGTTCGATTTTCCCAGAGGCTGGTGCATGGTAGGGGATGTGATATACCCACTCAATGCCATGCTCTTTGGCTCAAATATCTATAAGGTTATTTCGGAAATGAGTCCCATTGACTGACTCAATTCTATCTGGGGTGCCATGATTTGTCCATCTCTGGTATGGCCAGAATGACCACACACCTCATTTAAGTGTTTTACTAATTCTTCTGGATTTTGAAGTTGTTCGGTAGTGAAATTCCAAAGTACTGGAGGGGCCCACTGACCTAGATACTTGCCCATACTATCCTACACACCCTGCCACTCATGGCTGTCCAGCCTCTGGGAAAACCTCTCGGTCCTCCTACATTGTCGTTTGACCCCAGACAAGACCCAAACCTGACTCTGCTTAACTCTTGAAATCAGTAGTGGGCAAAACACACTCTGTATGCGTGTTAGCATGGTGATTCCCATCACCATCAGCAAACAAGTCTCAACAGCATTAAAATGCCATTCAAAAAATTCAAAACTCTCAAATGTAAATGGTCTGGGGGGACGACTGGGAGGGTAAAAGAATGTCTCCTTCACAGGTTGAGCACCTGAGAAGGAGAAAAAAGATGTGTAATTGCTAAGCACCTCCATCATATACCTCCCAAAGTATAAAGGTGGTGACCAC